GCCTCCGCCTCCGGCACCCTGCAACACACATCCCTGTCACAAAACTATACATTGCAATGGTTAATTGGCGATTCCAGAAACGCCAACTGCTGTCATTAGTCCCGTTAGTGTAGAGCACGCTTTCATTGCGGGTGGCGGGGATCTTTCCCCTCTGGACGGTGAGATCTGGCGCCAACATACACGCCGCTTTGAGGTATTTTCCCATCCAGTTATATCCCACCAATTATTTCAGTCGGGCAAGCTCAAAAACATGTGCGGTAGTGTAATGAATGTAAGTGTGTCTAAGGGATGGGAATAGGACAAGGAAGTCGAAGAAAACATGCGCGCAATCCGTGGCGTGTTTGTTAGGGTACTGCTCGAGCATTCGCGTGGTGTTGATCGGTGAAACCATGGAATACTACCGATTAGAGTAGCCGGCCGCTCAAATTCTCCTCCCGACAGCGGCTGAATTCTACTTATCTCGGTATTGGGGGACTTCGTGGTCACAGGCATTGCAGTGATTATCAATAGATGTCCTCAGTCACCAAAGCCCGTACAAAGCTCTACAGCTTGGGATTCGCCTGCGACTTTGTTGTTAGTATTGGTAATTTGTTTCATTTGCTTTCTTGTATACTACCTTCTACAAAATGTAGAAGTAAATTTTATGTACCAATGTAACATTTTATAAAATGCATGGTTTAAAGACGACAATCAGAGTGTAGCCTCCCTCCGCAGTGATATCACTCAAATGCAAATACTCTGCGCGCAAACCCACTCCTAAGCCTTCTAGAAACAGAACTACAGACGAAAACACTACTTTTTTCTACGTAAACTGGCGAAATTAAATATTGCAGATATATACGTTCACGAGCGCGGTAATGCCAAGATTAATGTTCACAATTTTACACTTCACTTCTATGCGAACTGCTTTCTGAAAGCGATTAGTTCTCAGTATTTTTGAAAGAGCTTTCAGCCAATGGATCAATGACAAGGATTTGCTATGTACTCGCCCTATCCCACCTCATTCCATGCAAGTGCAGAAATCCGATGCACCAACTCAAACGTCGTTAATCATACAGTTTCACGAAATTTTCTATAGCAATTTTCCTTCAATCATCATGCATCGAGCTGGAACAGCCATGCCAGCACTCCAATAAAAACTGTCTAATATTTTATTGCTAATTAATTGTCACAATTTGAATTAATTGCTACACATTTCGTTTAGACAAGCGGAGACAGCTGGCATGACACGACACAAGGACACGCACACAAATTAAATTTGAAATGTAGCTTGACGGAAGCTGATAACTTTGGTCAACAGCATTTTTGTAACAAAGAATGTGAATGTTGTTCCTAGTCAAGTTTTGGGCAATGGATTCGAATATGAAATCAGTTTTTGCCTATCGGGCTCAGTTTTCTTGTTACACGCTACTCTCCATTTATGGAAATGCTTGAAAACGCTGCATATTGGTTATTTCGCTGTAGTTTCGTTCGACAATTCTGCAGATGTAATTGTTTAGGAACAATGGTAATGTGTACGAGGAATTCCTATAAATTGCACCGATTTCAGAAAATTCACCTTCAGGAAATGAAAAAGGATTGGAAACATTGCTGATAAGTCTTACAAGGGCAGATAGAATCGCGTTGTGTTCCTTGCCAGTTGCGTCCCAGAATTGAAATATCTGACAGTGTGGAAATGGTGCGGCTTGGATGTGACAGCTTGTTATTCCAGGTTCGTGAAGATTTGTGCTAGGTATTAATTCAGAACAGAAATGCATCGTAACTTGTAAATAGTCGATAACACGGGTGAGTCGGTTACGCGCGACACACCACACACTTAAGTTAACTACTAATTGTAGCTCGATGGATGCTGTCTAAAATTTATTGTCGATAAATTGATAATTAATTGCCACAATTTCGTATAAGAATTTTCGTTGAAACCACGTGAACCAGTTTGAGGCTACGCCAGCACGTAATGAGTACGTTGGTTACTATGGAGGACTTAATTACGGAACTTTGTTTACAATTTTTTTTATGATCGTACATAAATGTGGGTTTTTGTGTTGCTACGCATGCGCTTTCCTTAAAACATCAGAAAAATGTGTCGTCACCAAATGTAAAAGACTTTTTTGTTTGCATGACTGTCACACTGAGAAAAGCACTTTTACTCACTATAGGTAGCTTAGAATTAAGAAAATAAAACACACAATGGCAAAACAGCTTTAATATCAATACTAATAAATTCTTCCCA